TGTCAGCGGGAGCGCGAGCGTCAAAAAAAACGTATGATTCGAAGAGAATAAATTGGAAAGCGTCCATAAACCGAGGCGTGACGATGCTAGTCGAGATAAGGAACGGATAAGGTAGCGAGGCTAATTCGACGAGCGCGGTTCTGCAAAAGAGAGGTGAACGGCGCTCGGTCTCCTTGAGCAAACAAAGCCACGCGTGGTCCGGGCTCTGAAAAAGCCGGGGGGCGTTTAAGGAAAAAGCAAAGGGGAAATAAAAGTCAAGGATCTCGAGCGGCCGATCTAAGTGGCACGCTCGCGGCGCAGCCACGGAGCCCCAGCGCGCACTCTACTTCCGGCAGCGCTCGCCAGCTCTTTCTTTCCCCCTGCGCTTCGTCTTTTCTTACGCCGGGCGACCTATCTGAGAATTGACGAATTGAGTCCCGCCGGCGTTATACGTTGAGAGTGAATTACCGATGCTCAGCGAACGATTACAATAATGCCATCATCCCTTGTACAGTTCACGTAATTTGAGGGCCTTCGAGCTGCGCTCGATCGGTCGCGATTGCCGTTTACTTGAATAATGCCAGATGAACGTCTGATTAGAAGTGCAAAACGGAAAATTGCTAGTGGAGGAGTTCTAAATGCGATTCCATTTGTTTCCTATATGAGCCAACTCTTTACATAATGATGATTCAATAGCATTCAAGAACGATTGTATCGTTGTGTTTAGGAAAGCTGTAATTGAGTCTATTGCAAGCTATTAACTTGATACAATAATGAAAAGGTTATTTCCATTAATTCGATCTACTATTTGGATTATCAGATGACACGAGCGTCAATGCACGTATTCGTAGCTCAGATGACCGCAACAGAGTACACCGAACGTAGATAGCGTCTCCGCGTGGAGAAATGCGAATTGGCTACTGCGACAAGTGCAGACAAAACGTCACGAAGCCAACGGAAAAGCTGCAGGAGCGCGAAGAGCACGCGAATTCTCACGGGACGATCGGAGCCCGGGCTCGCTTTCGCCCATTCTCAGCTCGGCCGGCGCACGTCGAGGCCGTGCAAACACACATGGCCCGCAGCCGAAGCCGTACGCCGATAAATTGGCCTCGCGAGCGCGCTAATTGTTTGGACAATGCAGCTCTCCCTTTAACGAAGCGCTCGCTCGCGCGATAAGATTGCCTTCTCAGGCTGTGCGGTAGCTCTGCTAATCGAGCGCTGTGAGACCGCTTGCGCCCATTATACGCCCCTGCGCGGCATTCAATTTCTCCGAAGCTTTTCTTCCGTTATTTTTACGTAATGCCGCCGAGATTAGATTCAATTTACTTGCTTTTTTAAGCGTTCCCCGCTCTCTCGCGAATGCTCTTATCGGCAATCGATATCAGCCCTGCCGTTCGCCATATTTCAATCAGCCTCGCGATCTTCCTATCCAGATCGGCTTAGAGTCTGTAACGAGGACGCCGACTTTTCATGGACGACGATCGACTAACGGAGCGTGTAGCTGCGCGAAGTAGTGCCGATCCACTTTACAAATATATATATATATAATGTCCAAACGACACCGATACAGGATTGCATTTACATTTTCAATAGAGACCAGCCGTTCGGCGCGAACGCACAATATCACAGCGCGACTGGGCGTTGCGCGCTCGCTCCAAGCACAGGTATGCGGGCGCGTTATGAAAGGGGCAAAAAAAGAGAGAAAAAGCATCGGCGCGAGCAATTTTTGCTACACTTTCGTTATTACACCTTCGCCGGTTAATTTCGCTTATTAGTACGTTACCGCGGCGCGCCGCGCAAAATCTTGCACAAGCCATTAATAAATGTATTATCATAATAGGCGCGAGCGCGTTTGTGTAACTTTGGCCAGGCGTCCCTCCCAGCTCGCCCCCCCCCCCGCCTCAATATCTTGGCGCTTTTCTTTTCGATGTTTATCAGTGCCAGAAAAAGTGCGATTCGATACCCTCGGCGCATTTTTGCAACGCAATGAATTTTATAAATCAAGACTTTCGATTAACCGACTTGCCGTACGAAACGGTTATTACTATTATTATTTTCTTTTTGCAATTCTCGCGTTAAACCCGCCTGTCCATGTACGGGACGTTGCTTGCGTGTTGTTTTGGACACGTTTTCACAGTTGGATGAAAAATCAATCGCTCGCGATAAGTGTCACAGCCCGCTCTCTCGGACAGTTACCGCGAGAGTTTTGTCAGAAGGCTTGTGTCACGTTTTTTTACGGGAATTAAAGCCGCGAGCACACGAGCAGTCAAGCTTTCCATTCGGTGAGGTCCTCGAGGCACTTTCCTTTTTATACGAAAAATCGTTTTCACGTAAACAATGAACAAAAAAAAAGGAAAGTACACGACGTATCGGACAGGCTTTTGCCAAAATGACGGGGAAAAGAAATCAATTTCGGCGGTAAACCCCGTAAAGTTTGCACTGCCTCGCGCGAGCCGAGACGAACGACGTCGTCGATAAACAGCGTAGCCCCGGGGAATGGAGAAAAAATCTACGTCACTGCTCAGCCAAGCTAAGTAATCTCGTCGCGTTTCGCGTAATTCAATGCATACTTTTTTACCTGTCTGCCCCCCCCCCACCGCCCCTTTCGTTTCGCGCTATTTTCACTTTGCCAGTGAAATTTATTGGTTTAATGGAATTACGCAGTGAGTAATCTCGAGCTGCTAATGGAATTTCAGTTATCTTAAGCCAATTGATGGAATTATCGCTTTTTATTTGATACGAATTCTATCGATATTTTACGAATCGTAGTTTGTCGTGCTTTTTCGCTAAAAAATCTTGAAATTGCCGATCAATCACGTTTCGATCCACAATCCACTCAAAAGCACCAGTTAACCCGTGTGTCGAAGACCTCTATTTAATTTGGCTTCAGCTCTATATTAAATTACACGCGAGGCTGGGCATCAGGGGTTCGAAGTATTTCAGAAGAAATCAATCGATTTCATTTGGAAAGAAAAACTGAAATTTATTTATGGAAATAAAATAGCACGGGTCCGACATTTCCGACATATTACGTAATTGTAGGACAAAATACAATTAAAGAGTAAACGTGCTCCCGTTGTTCTCTACATAGAGTCGTCGTGCTCGTCATATTACGTGGACGGCAAAACGTGTCGTAGGCCATGAGCATTAGCATCGTATCTCGTTGCTGCAGGGGAACATTATCAAAGTCACGATTCTGCAGGCAGGCACACACGCTATCGAGAGCACAGATACATACGTGTGCTACAAGAGATGAATTCGTCGATGTGTACAGAGTAGTCGCGTGCTGCTCGATCGCGCGCGCACCGAGGAAATTTGCTGCCGCCGATTTCCGCGTGTGCCGACTTTCACACACACGCGCGCGCTAGACATGCATGTGTATATTACAAAGGCATACATATGAACGGACGTGGGTCCGCTGTCTCACAACTCATTATGAATGTACCGTGTGTGGAGCAGTGTGACTGGCGAACGTTGAGTTTGTGTCTGGTGCGGCTGACGACACGGAGTCAGAGGGAAAGGCGTAGCACCTCCCTACAGCTAGAATCGCATTCGCGAAACTGTCCAGATGGTGCGAAAATTCACTCGAATAGCGGCCCAATGAAGCCGAGCAGAGCAAAGTCATTTGAACATGACCGAGTGACATTGTTAGCGTCGCACTGGACAACATTGCGCGATTGAACGATTATTATTTACGCGCGCTTCGAGATGTCGGTCGCGATGGGCGGAAGGGCGAGCACTCTGGTTGACGATGCGGCACACTTCGTCGAGATGAAAAATTCGTTTGGCGCGTGCTGGCCAGTCCGGCGGGTCGCGTGTGCATGCCCCTCCTAAAATCGCATCGCGCTCGGCGCGCTCGGCCTGTTATCTGACGCGCGATTGCAATTGCCGCTGCCGTTTCCACTTTCCCACTCGAAGTGCTTCCCTCGCTCGAGCGCCATTGCACAATCGCCGATATCACGTGGGAAGCCAACGTATTTTATTAGCCCGAGCCTGGCTTGGCTCTCTCTCTCTCTCTCTCTCTCTCTCTCTCTCTCTCTCTCTCTCTCTCTCTCTCTCTCTCTCTCTCTCTCTGCCAAGTCGTGAACTATGCCCTGTGCCAATACAGTTTCTCTGGCGAATGACCCCTTTATAAAGGGATCCGCTGTATCATTCGGATGTAAGTTTACGAGCCGACCTATACGACAAACCGATTTGCAGGCGCTGCGTGTGCGCGTTGTCAAACCTCAAATTACATGTATTTATGAGCTTCGCAACGCAGGAAAGGAGAAGTGAATGATGTACGAGGGAAACGCAGCTTTTGAAGGCGATGTATCTCGTTTCGCCAACATAATAAAAGCCTTGTTTACGGCTCGTTCAAACTGCTTGTACCGAGGAGCGCGCAGTCGCGGCTCAACTAGACGAATATTAGTGCAATTCATAATTTTTATTGGTCGGCGAACGCGCAAAGCAGTCCTCACTGCTCACTCGGGCCGCTCGACTTTTATGCCTGTCCACGCGAACGAACAAAAAAAAAGAGAGCCCAGCAATTTCTTTGTGCCTCTGCGTGCTCGTGCGCGCTCTACACTTTTCCCGTGGCCTGGCGATTAATTGCCGAGCGTCCAGCTCATCCACTTGCGCAACTTGGTCGCGGATAAACATACGGATTCGCGACTAGCATCAAGCAGTGACAAAGCGGAATTGCCTACAGATACATTTCGCTCGGCAAATCAACAGAAAAATGAGCAGCAGCGTGGAGGAAAGCACTCGCTTAGTTTTCGCAAGCGAGGCGCGGAGGAGAAGTGACTCGAGCGAAATTTCTAATTGTAGCACCGAAAGATTGATCGATCGTTTCTTTTGTGCCCCCGCACGCACCGGCGCGGCAATATACGCGTTCGAGCCAAGCATTGGCAATTTGCGCGAGATTCGTTTCATAATTTCGACCCGCCAACACTGACGACAGACTAACACACCTAATCACCTAATGGAACACACTATAGACGGGCTTCTGACGTCTCGTTCTCGTTTGCCTGTTGTTGCAGATGGAGCGGCGACAAGCAAGGAGCTGCCTGCTGTCGTTATTGGTGATCGCGTGCTGCACGTCGATCCTGGCCGCCCAAGCGGGCGATCGGCGGTCCAGCTACCGAAGCAGCGGCGACGAGGTCCAAAGGCAATCTAGTCAGCAGCAGCGGCAGCTGCAGAGAATTCGCTCACCTCGGCGACTGGGCAGTCGGCACAACGAACTGGCGACGACCGAGTCGTCGCGAAGGACGACGCAGCAGCACGCGCTGATCGCTGGCCACTTGCGGACTGAGAGCGTCAACTTGAACGCCAAGCAGCAAGATCTGGCGCTCGAAGACGGGCTACTTCTCTCGTCCGCGGGCGGCGGCAAAGACAGCAGAAAGTCCAGCGCGAGCGGCAGCGAGGACGACGACAAGAAGACGCTCGCGCAGCAGGTGAAGGAGGGCAAGTACGGCCTGCTGCAGAACGAGCTGTTCGCCAAAGGGCCCAAGCGGCCCGGCATCCTCAGCTACTCCTCCAACTCGGAGGTGCCACGCGACAACCTGAAGAATCTCGGCGGTCTGGACGAGGACGAGATATGGCTGGCGGAGAACCACCTACTCGTGCTCAAAGGCGGCAACTTCCACGATGCCGACGCGACCACGGAGCTGCAAGCGAGCGACGTCAGCTGGCCGCCCATCGACGACTACAGTGCTCCGCGGCGCCAGGTGAAGATACCGCCGCGACCCAAAGTGCCGCCGCCGTTCCCCGTGCAGCTGACCGAGGACGGCCCCGTGCAGCTGCTCGGCAGCAACGGCACCAGCTTCGTCGCCGAGAACGACACCATCGACTTCGAGGCACTGCCTGGCGGCTTCAAGGGCTTCCTGCCCGGCGAGGGGCCCTACTTTTCCCTGCCGACCAGCAACGCCAGCAGCGGCAGCCTTGCCGCACTGGAGAAGCGCCACAAGGCGGAGGGCTCGCCGGGCCCATTTTATCCGGCCTTGCCGCCAGGCGCGGTGATAGTCCCGCCGCCAAGCAACCAGACCGACTACGACGAGGACCAGTCAATCTACTACCCGCCGCCCTACAGCTTCGTTTACTCGCAGGACAACTCGACGGACATACCGCCGGGCCCGCTCGTGCCCGGCATCATCCTACCTCCTCCGCCCGACTTCTTCTCGTCGCTCAATGACGCGAAGGCAAGCAGCGCCAGCGCCAAAGACAAGCAGTCGGCGCCGGGCAAGCAGCAACGCCCGAGCAGCACGACCACCCCTCTACCGACCGCCAGACCCTCGTCCTTGCCGCCCCCGAGGAAGTTCAGCACCAAACTATACAAGACGCCGTCCGTCACGGCTCGGCCCGTCGGCTTCAAATCGGCCTCTTACAGCCCCAAGCCGCTCAACCGGGCCAAAGCGAAGAACGGCAGCAGCAGCAGCAGCAGCGGCGGTGGCGGCGGCGGCGGCGGCGGCGGCGGCCTCTTCCAGCGCTACCAGCACGCGAGCAAGACGAGCGCAGCACCGCCGACCTACAAGGCGCTGCCGTTCGTCGAACTCACCACGCCGCTGCCCGCCAAGTCCACCACCCTTGAGAGTCCGGAGCGATTCCACATTGAACCGATCCTCGGCAACCAGGTGACCGAGACGAGCACGCAGAAGCCGTGGAAGGCCGCAGTCAGCAGCAAAGCCGTGCCGCTGCTCACGTTCTACGCGTCGACCACGCCGACATCACTGGACCAGCCGGTCGAGACGACCCCGTCGGCCGTCAACAACGTCGGCCTGACCACCGAGGATCCCGGTGCGAGCTACCCTAGCCAGGCGTCCTACTACTTCTACGAGGAGGCGAGCAACGACGAGCAGGCGCCCTGCTCCACTCCCGCTCCCGTTCTGTTCTTCAGCACGACTGCCGAGACGCCGCCGTACTACAACGTTCAGATAGCCGAGCAGCCCGAACAGCCCGATCAGCCCGAGCGGCCCGATCGCGAGAGGAAGGACTACTACGACGTCGAGATGATCCCCTCGCGACAGACCTCCAAGGACTTGAACGTCAAGCTGATCGACTCGATCGCCGAGCAGCCGCAGATCTACAAGTACATCGGCTCCGGAGCGACGAACAGCCGCGAGAAATTCGAGAGCCCGCCCATCAGAAGCCAGAGCCCGAGGATGCTACACTCCGAGCCACTGTACTATCAGCCCGTGCCGACGAGATCCTCGCCGAGATTGAGCTACTTCAGCACGCCCAAACCCAAGAGCTACTACGACCGAGCCAAGATCGGCGAGAGCCTGTTCAGCGGCAAGTCCAAGCCCATCTACCAGTATAGCTTCGAGGCAACCAACTACAAGCGCAACGAGCAGCCCAAGATCCGCGAGCCGGCCAGAATCTACCAGCAGCAACCCGAGCCAGCGCAGATCCCGACGCCACGGCGCCAAAAGGAGCTGTCGCTGTTCAACGAGTACCACGACATACAGAGCGTGAGCGGCGCCGACCAGTACGGCGACTACGAGGGTGGCGAGGCGGTGGCCGATCAGCGACTGCGCGCCGACAAGCTGCCCTACCTCGGCAACAAGAAGAAGGAGCGAGCCTACTACCCGCAGTCGACGACTGCCGTGCCCGTGCGCGCGACCACCCTGGCCGGCCACCAGCAGTACTTCACCAAGCAGGACGAGCAGCTGCTCGACGACGTCACTAGGGAGTACTTCACCATGTTCGGCAAGAAGCTGTCGGGCAAGCTGCCCAGCACCACGCCCATCTACGGCAAGTCGAGCGTCAGCACGGAGCGCCCGGCTGTCTACAACGCTAACAGCTACGCGGCTCAGCAGCCGCCTGCCGGCGCCTTCCGCGCGGCCAACATCAAGGTGCACTACGGCGACGCCACCCCGGGGCCGTTTTCCCTCAAGGACGACGCGCTGGTCAACTACAAGAAGCCGCTGCCGAGCAGCAGCCCCGACGCCGAGTTCGTGTCCGCGGTGCGCACGCCCAGGCCGAGCTCGCTCCACGGCAGGTACCGAGCGCCCGCACCACCGGCCAGACCCAGACCGGCGCTACCTCACCTCACGGACTATACGGCGCCTTTCGTCGGCGCCCAGCCCGCCATCTCGCTCGCAGACGACGTCGTTGTCAATTACAAGCCGCAGAGGCCGCCCGTTAATCCCGACGCCGAGTTCATCTCGCCCGTGGCGGCGGCGGCCAACGTCGACAAGCCCAACTCGTACTTTGCCTACCGGCTGCCCGGCGACGGCGGTCACTTTTACTTCCTCACGCCCCAGGCGATCGACCGGCAGCAGCCCAGCAGTTACCTCTACTCTAGGCCGAGCAGGGCCTCCTGGCCTCTGCCACGCAGCAGACGTGTCCGCGACGCCGACTGAACTGCTTTCGATCGCGCACTTGCATCTTTCTCCAGGAGATTGGATCGAGTTTTATCCTACGACTAGACGTCTTCGCTGTTCTTCGTATTCATTGCGCACTCGTAAATTTGCCGAAAGTCGGCGCGAGAGCTCGTCGTAGAAATAAAGTATACGCTAAGAGTGTGCTGTAAGCTTTAAACTCATCCTGCGATAGGGCAGATATGTCGGATGCCATATATTATCAAATTTCTAAGTTCGGAAGAAATGGGTGTCGTATGTTTTTTCCATAATTGTACCGTGATGTCGCGCGCGCGAGAGAGAGAGAGAGAGAGAGAGAAAAGTACAGAGCGGTTAATAGATTATTTATTGCTTGTACATACATTGTTTACTAAGTTAATAATTATTATTATTATTTGTAATTAATATCTCGATTATGCGTATACGCGTTTAATTTAACGATTCGTTTGTGAGTAGAAGTGATCTTTCGTTTATTGCGCCTTGTCTGTGATTAATGTTTGAAGTGTATATATATACCTATCCAAGCTAATTCACTTTTTTTGTAAGTCATAGTGGTCTACCGCAAGAAAACTATCGCTCTCAATGAATGCATGCAGTTTGCCACGTGTCATTTTTGCACTTATTCGGATTTTTAACGCGTTGTTTTAGCCTTAGTTTCCAAACTACATGCACTACACAAGCTGCATAAGGTAATGCATGAATCACAAAGAATCTTTTTAACGAAATATCCATGTATCGTCGGACCGATCGATCTGATCGATCGCTTGCACGTCTCACTCGATAGATTTTAGATTTAAGTTGTTAAGTTGTACCGAGCATAAATGTTTAACGAAATAGACTAAGAACAAAAAACCCTATTCTTCGTATTCCTATTTCTCTATATGTAAACGTCAACGTCGAATATTATCGTAATGGAGCTTTGTCTTTATACCTCAAGATTACATGTTTATATAGGAATGATAATAATGAATAAATAAACGAATAAAAACATTATTGAACAGTAAAACTCACCGGTGTCAATCTCTTGTGTTTGCGTCAAATCTGGTAACGGATAATCGTGTAGTCGAAGGTAAACGTCTATTGCACATTTCGCTGCTTTGAAGTAAAACGGATGCGAGCGCAGTACATCTTCTAACCTCAGAAGACCGACGTAGGAACGTAGGGTCATTTTACGCATGCAGTAAGTATGAAAATCGAATTGGTCCTCTATTATTTCAGAAAAGTGCTGCAAATTATGAATTAATCGATTAGGCAAACTCTATAAATGAAGTTTGATTGTTCAAAAGCTATCATGATTCTTCCTGCGTTTTATCTATATGTTTTGTAGTTATTAAAAATATTTGAATAGTATACTATCGTAACAAATTAAATTTACAATTCCATTAATCACTTAACGTTTTTAAATGGACAATTAATTCAAATAGTCAATCAAGCTAAAATTGGTTCTAGTCTAGAAAATAAACAAATAGCATACCCTGTCAACTTCGTGACATTTTTTCAGTGCTTCACCATATTTCCCCAGGCGTTTGTACGCATTCGCAGCTTCTGTTTGTATCCACATACATTGCATTTCATTAAGATTTTCCATCGCCAGAACCCCTTCTCTTGTGAACTTTGCGCAAGTTTCTTCTGCTTCTTTTACCAAATTTGCACGAAGCATATATTTGGCACACTTTGAATTTATGTAGCGATCAGCAGTATCTAAGCTTTGTGCTTCATCTAACCATTTATACGCTTCTTGAACATCTCCGGCGTGCTGGAAATAATCATGTCAGTATTGTTACTATTACTATTATACACTCGCTTAAAAAGGCGTTCGAGCTATATTTTAAAGAATCATAACTTGAAAAATCACTATTGGTGACTAACAAATCTCAATTTTATGTATGGATTTCAAAACTTACCTTATAAATTCTTCCTTTGGTAACAAAAAGTTCAATCAGTGTAGGAGTGTGATGTATGGCAGCATCAATTTCTTCAAGTGCTTTTTGCGTTGAACCGAGAAAGTCATAATGCTGAGCGAGGTAATAATAATTCCATAAAAGGGCGGACGCTGGTTCTCTTGGTTTATCTTTGTCTTCATCACTAAAATGACCATGTGCTTTTAGTGCTTCTTTGTACTGTAAAACTAATGACTGTATAACATCAACTTTACTTTGATCTTTGTACAAAGCGCGAAGATCAACGAATAGTGGAGGAACACCTTTATGAAGACCTGAAGTGGAGACACGTTATCATAAATGTAATGCATAATGATAAAAATATAATTTCTCAAAAAATTGAAATTTCACATACCTTTCCTGAGGTAACGGTCCACTAATTCTTTGAACTTTTCACCTGAAGCATAATTAAGTTGCAATCTTCGAGGAGCCAAAGCTCTGGGGAAGAGACTTTCATAATGCTCAAGCATTTTTAATGTTTCTTCAGGCGTTTTATGCCTCTCTGCTTCTGATAATTTTTTGTAATATAATACATTTTCTGGATTGATTTGTAAAAGTTCTTGATATACTTTTACAGCTTCAGAATGTTGTTCCAATTCCAGTCTCAACTTACCTAAACATCAAAGTACAGATATCAAACAAAGCTGATAAAAGCTAACAATCAAAGTAAAGTACAAATTGAAGATATAAAAATAAATATGTGCACACATTAATTTGAAAAAAGTAAATTTAAAATATTAAAAATAATGTTTTATTGATTTATGATTCTACTAAAATAAAAACTATAGCAATAGAACATTGCTAATGAAATCACCATGCTAATTGTGATTGTAATTGGAAAGAAATCTAGAAAAACAAAAATAAATACCATATGTTTCTTTCACAGTGATCTTGTCACATATTTGTTCGTGGTGCTTGTCAAGATGTTTTAGAGCTTGTTCACTGTCACCTGATTCTTGAATTACCACATTTTGATATAATAACAATTCACTGTGCTCATAGTTGTAGCATATCTAAACACATTTAATCTTCTATTTATAAAATATTATATAACAAAACTTTGAAGTAATTTTTGTTTGTCAAATCAAATTTTTTGACATTTGCATCAAATGCTTATACACATGTGTTGTGATTGCTTGATAAACACTTATATAATACATACAATATTTTCATACTTACCATTGGAGAGTTTCTAAAAGTATCTAAAATTTTGAGAGCCATTTCGTAATCTTTTAAAAGATGATATGATATAGCAAATCCAATCCATGATGCTCTTTGTGTGGGTCTCAGCATAAACAGTTGATATCTTGTATCCTGTGAATAAAAATTTAAGCATGAATGAAAACTTCTTCTTTACTCATACTAATAACAATTCTTAAGCAGCCAACCTTATAACCTTCCAAATCTCGCATTTGGATTTGTAATAATGAAAGATCCCTGAGAATCTGCAGGTTATCCTTGTCCCATTTGAGGGCATTTCGGTAACATTTAATTGCTTCATCGTACTTCTTATCAGACCTTTGCAACAACCCATAAACGTGCCAGCACACATGGGATTGCAGATCATTCCTTAATCCTCGCCGAACATGATCATAAGCTTCTTCTTTACGGCCAAGACAATTGAGTGTGAGACCTTTCATCGCCAAGGTCTCTCCATGTTCACTAAACTTGGGATTGGTCAAAATCTGCTTTGCAAATTTCAACCCATTTTTGTATTGTTTGTGTTCGTAACACCTCTGTAATAATGAAAGAGTACTTTAGAAAATTCATTAAAATGTATAAAAATTTGGTAGTAATGTATTTTTTGACCAATAGCGGGCAGTGTTTACATTTTAAGGTTAGTTAAGCTAGTTCAGATTTTTCAAAATTAAACTACAAATGACATTAAAACCGACTGACTCGAAATGAAATTCGAAAATATTGTTGAGATTTTTTAATTTCTTCGTCATGAGTACTTTAACATTAGAGTTAGCATTGGAGCTATTCTACACCGGGGGAACGAGAGAGGGGCTCCAAAACAAAAAATTTGATGATCGTTTACTCACCAAAATTCGTTTGAACAAGGCATTTTCTTTTGGTGGCAGGGGATATCTGGAGGGCATTTTTGTATAAATACAAAAATAAAGGTGTTTTTTCACCCGGTAAACTTAATTTTCACCACACAAAACCTCGTGGCCACAAACGAAGAAGTCGATCTTAGATCACGTGATCACTCTCACGGACGATAATGCTGTTCCGCCGGAAGTTACTAGCGCTCCACTCTCTAGACGCGCGACATTTATTTATATTCGTAATAGAAAGTAATTTAAGACTACATTTCATATTTTATTTCACTTTATTCAAAAGTTTATTTTAAACAGATTTGAGCAAAAGATATTCAATAATTATCTTAATTCATTCTCTTTCATACTCATAGACCTATGGTATAATTTTTCAAAATATTACTGAAAATAAAAATATAATTAACTATTTTTTTATATTACAAATACATTAAAATAACTTAATTTTTATATAAAGAGTAATGTATATTCATAGATTATGAGGAATGGTCTACGCTAGGCCTTAGCATATACTATTAGCATCTATTCTCTATAGTGTTTGTCTGACGCCAAGCCTGAACGCATTGAGCGCTGGGCCTAGCACTGCAGCTACGCAACCATGCCAAATATGACTTATGTGCGGTGTTTGTGAGTTCGTGAAAATGTTATAATTAATTTGAAAATGACGAAATTATTTCGTCAATTAGGAAAACTATCCTTTTACTTCAAATTAGCTTGATTATAGTCATCTATAAATTATGGCTTTTTGTTAGAAAAGTATATTTTTTAATCTTATTAGGTTAAACGAATAGGTTAACTTCTACAAAAAATTTTTAGCACAATATATTGCTAAAAAGTATTAGAAATCTATTTGATTGTTATTGTTAAAGAAATTTTAAGTAAAGCTGTAAAGCATGTCTTTGATATTAAAAAAGCTTTGTAAATGTATATTACACGAACATTTTGGACCTATTGTTGAAACAGTTGGAGATGATCTTTTTAAATATGGACCAAGAACTTTAGCTCAAATAAAAGCAACAACAAATCTATCAGTTGATAAGGTAAATTTTGTCTACATTTTTTAAATGTAAATATAAATTTTCAAATGAATTTAACATTATACTGTTTTCCTTCAACAGGTAAAGGAATCACTATGCGTTCTTATTAAATTTGGACTTGTTATGTTTGAAAAAATAGAAAAAGGATCAATTATATATACCTTGGATGCAGAAAAAGTTCTTGTGATGCTAAGATACCCCAAGTGAGTTTTTCCACTTCAATAGATCAATAATATTTAATCTTGCCTTATTTAATAAATTATATCCTATTTATCAGATTTATGTGGTTTGTTAAAACCAACTGTGGAGATGAAGCAGAAATGATGCTAGAAGAGGTTCTTAAAAATGGATATGAGACTGCTTCAAAGATCATTGTTAAAACTTATCAGAGGCTAGAGCAATTTCCTCGTAAGGGAATTTGTCTAATAATACAAACTTTTTTAAAAATTGTAACTACTGCAAAAAATAATAATTTGTTCTTTCTAGCTGAGAGAAGATCTACAGTTCCTGTTTTAAAAGAAAAATTTGAAGAACTAGTTAAAAATCAATTTCTTATGCGCAGCATTTGTTCTAATATATTGAGTGACATTTCATCTGATAAGCCAGACTTTAGTATACCGGCACTCAATATCAAAGCTCTCACAAGACTTACACAAGGTCATGAAGCAGATGCTGGAGATAAGAGTATCTATTGGAAAGTAAATATTGATAGATTTACACAGGATTTGAGGTAAAAACAATAAATTAAATATGCTTTTCACTGAAAAAATTAAAATCAATTTTTTGGAATTCTTACATCTAGAGATCAAATTCTTGTCAATGCAATTACAAAACGGACTGATGATAATACTGGACAACTCATGAGGCAACTATTATATCTTATGTATCTACGAACTGCATCATGGACTGATACATCAATTCCAATTTCAGTAACTGAGATGAAAGAAGCAATGAAAAAAAACTATCCTTTGATGATACCACATCTTGATCAATATTTAATGATTATTGGTACAATTTAGAACATCACTCGTTATTATTTAATAAAAATAGTTACACCATTATTTTAATAAATTTTTGCCTTGTTTAGAAGAGGATTCTAGCCAATTTATTCAGCGGGTAGGAGATTCTGGAGGTGGGCAGTATAGCGTCAACATGAAGGAAGCATTTCATCAATTAGCTTGGGCTGTCTTGGACAATGTAGTGATGGAAAGATTTGGTTCTAAAGCTGCTAGAATATTCAGGTATATGTCAATTAATCATTAACCATCTAATTTTGATCATAAATCAAAATTCAAAAATGCTTTTATTACTTTAGGTTGGTAAGATCTCACAAATATATAGAGCAAGAAAAAATTCAGCAAATAGCTATGATTCCAGCCAAGGAAACAAAACATTTAACTTATACTCTGTTGGAAGAACAATATTTACAAATTCAAGAATTGAAAAAATCTGGTGTCTCTGCAGGTGGAGCACCAGCAAAGATCTTTTTTCTTTTCCATATAGATTTAAATCAAGTTGTGAGAATGACTATTGAACATTGTCATCATGCTCTCTATAACATTATTCAAAAGAGGATACATGAAACATCAAGCAATAAAAGATTGATTGATAAAAATTTGCGAATGCAAACTATGATTAGTAATTTTAGAGAACAAGGAGTTGGTGAGCAGCAATTGAAAGAAGTAAGTATTTTTATAACCGTTTTATTATCAATCAATTTATTTAACATGATGAAAATTGTGATTATAGATTGAAGAAATGATGACTCCTTCGGAAAAACAGCACTTGGAACAAGTTCAAGAAGTGATAAAAAAATTAGGCAGTAACGAATTTTGTATAGACGAGACTTTGTTTTTGTTACAAATGTATATACGTTATCATCGGTGATCCCATTTTAGAGATCATCTGAATGAAATATTTCATAAAACTATTAATAAGTAATTTTTTATGAATAAATCGAATTATTTTATAATGAAGAAAAGACTAACACAAATCATTTATATATAGATATTTATTTATATGTAATAATGAATACGCCTGTAAAATACAAACAAAGAGTACCTAACTTTTAAATTATTTTAATAAATATAATGATATATCTATGTTTATAATAGAGTTGTTCTCTATGTGTGACAGTACATTTTTTTGATGTCACTATTCTCAAAGAAAAGTCACATCCAGGATCATAAAATTCGTTTCTCTTTTCTATTTTAGTACATACGTAGATTCAAAAGTTTTAAGAGACGCATTACAATGTATTTAATGATGATTATTTAGTAATTTGCCATTTACTTCGAAATAAACAAGACTTTGCTTTTTCTTATCTTTATTTGAAAATGAAAATTTTCGTCTGTACGTATTTCACAGCCAACTTGTGCGCTTTTGCAATTTGATTTGATATGCACGTGTTGATTGTGACTGCTTACTAAGTGTAAGCATATTTTGCAGACCAATTTTTTTTCCCTTTCTTGTCGTTGTGAGCTTATTTGTAAAGACAAGCTTTTTAGCCACAACGCTCTCTTGGATTACGAGAAACATAATAAAATAAACGAAAAGTTTCCTAGCGATGGCTTTTCCAGTACGTGTTATGCGTCTTTAATTATACTTGCGGATCACCTTAACACTTTTCGCTCACAAGTTGATAAAAAAAATAATAAAACCCTCAATACCTGGACGTACTAGCTAAATGTAATCTCATACTCGTGTACACGAGTCCATTATCTTCGTGAAGAGTAAAGCACCATTGCAGTCGGAAAATCCTAGTTTTCCCTGATTTTCTTTTGATTATGTTTTTGATTATTCCTGTTTAATCGACGTAAGACCCAAGACTACTAAAATACTAAACAACTAAAAATAAAAATAGATGGAATAAGTGTTAAGGTGCCGATGAGAATGTCAATGTTTTTTCGCCGTCTCAAAACAATCATTCGTCCACTCTCATTCACTCATAGTTTTGCACAATTATATACATTTTCTTTTACTTATTTATTCATACGCACTTGTCCCTAGAAGTAACGTTGTGTAATTTACTCGTAAATTATTCATTTTATTCGGTAAATCGCTATTATTTTTCCTTTCATCCTGCCATATTTCATTAACAACGTACTTCTTGAATGGAGTAGTGAAAATTATATTATTCTCAAAAATTCAAGTTTACTTCTTCGTGGCTCCGTACTGCATTTCTTTTTTCATTTACTTTTGATTGATATCAGGATAAAGAGTTATTAATAGTATACTTTTGTTTACAATAATTATTTTCTTCAAGATTATTTTTCGTGTAAGTCGAAGATAATGCGACCATTTCGTCAATATGCTGCAACTATTGAGCGCTAAAGATTATAGCGTAGGTAATAAGACTTTTTCATTCTTTTTTTTTCTGCTTTGTTTAGAGTGCATACGAAATTAGTATAAATACTAATCGTGCCATTACAGAAAGTCATTATTTAATTTGCTATCAGCGAGATTCTTTACACGTTTACATGTTTAAAATCTTAACAAAGTCGTTGGTTTTTATTAATATATGGCACGTTAAAAAAGGCAATTGTAACGGAAAACAGATTACAAACGTGTGAATCGAGTCGTGCGTCTAATTTATTTTGGCATCCTACAAATAAATGTCGAAAAATGTTATTCAAAAGATTTTGCGATTGCATACAAATGCACTCAAATTGCAAAAATGATTCAATCAAAAAAGATCAAATAAATTTTACAATTCAATGTACTCACGCTGTGCCGTAGCAATAAAGCGGCAAACATTTCACTCCAGAACAAAAACCATTGAGCTACAATTTTCTTATATACATTTATTTGTATTGTTATCGATAATTAAAAATGTTAAGATTGTAACAGTTATTGCAATAGCATATCCTCGCGAAATAATAGATCTTTGGAAGTCATAACTGGCGATGAAAAGTCTGGCCAAGAATTGAAAATTGCAAATTGGTCATCCGATTAATTTTAACGTTGAGGTAATTAGTCATCCGAAAAAACTCGAGTACCAGAAAAGTTTTTAAAGCTCCTAAAGATGGCGTTAAATAAAATAGTTGACATTATTATTGTAATTTTAATTTATGATAAAAATTCTGTGAAACACTCTATAGTTTTATCGGAGTTTGTTAAAGAAAAAGTCTTTTATAAACTGCAATGATTGAATGAGGTTTTTTCAAATGTATTTCCGTTATAAAATAATGACGACTGGCACGTATAATTGTTGTCGATATATCACTAGGGACAGTTTTGTTGTTGACTCGTAAACTGTTGATAATGAAGTGACGATGGTATCGATAATGAGAATAAACGGCGTAATAATAATAATAGCAGTAATAAAATGATAATATAATAGTAATAAAAATAATAATATTCGTTTATGTGAACCAATAATAAGGTTAAAAAGATAATAATAATGACGGTTGAAGCATAGAGCTTTTGTCCAGCGTGTACAATGAGTAACAATATGATTATATATATATGTGTGTGCGTGTGTGCGTGAGTATGCGCGCGCGCGTATGTGTATGTTTGTATATATATAAATATATATATATAATCATATAATATGCATAGTCTACAAGATTTGTTGTTTCTCGAATAACTTTACACATACAACTACGTATAGGTACATCACAAGTAATATAGTTACACTGTACATTAATATATAATATCATAGTAATACCGACGAGCGCGCCTCCGACACGCCACGCAGCGCCTCCCGCCGCCGTATTAATTGTATAATCATTCATCATCATTATAGTTATATATAGTATATCATCGTTTCGCACTGGGCATCTGCCGGGGCCCACCGTAAAAATCCACTATATACATAAAATAAATTATTATTAACATTTAAGCTATGTCTTGCTGCCACACGCAACGCTAGTGGCACACGTAACTTCACTATCCTCTCTTATATTTTGTCGAGTCGAGTCGATTAATTCTCATCACACTCACTTTTTTCTCTACATAGTTAATTATCTCGCGCTTCGGCAAAGGCTCCTTTTTCCTTTAGTGCTCTTTGGCCAAGCGTTATTTTTTTTTTTTTTTGCTATTATTTGTTTCTTACCGAGGATACTGGCTCTCTTTGTAAAAATTATTACATTAGGTACATACCATTTTCTTTATCTAAAATTGCACTGGTTACACATTCAACTAAGGGAGATGCGAAGTTAAGAGAGACTGCAGTATAATAGAGACTCGAGAGAGAAAGAGATGACGTCGATAACTCTTTACAGCTTTCATTCGAAATTATATATATCCAATGAATAAAGATCTTCAAAAAAACGAGACAACTTAATATTAATTGTCCTACTAATCTTTTAAATACCTAAACAAACACTATTTGGCACGTAAGTATCAATTGTATATCACATTGAATTTTCCAACATTACATATCTTTACTATTTTATGCATTTATAATCGATATTCTTTTTATTTTCAATTTTCAACGTATGTCATTGATGTTTCAAAATTAAATATCAACATATAAAAAGGCAATAGAAATTATACATCCCTCGGATGCAAACATAATAAATAGTAAGAAAAACATTATCATAACTCTATAACGATCAAAACTACTCAAATTTGAAAACTACTCAAATTCATTGAAAGTCATTTAATTTCCATAAATATATGTGTATGTACATGTATAGCTTTCAATGAATTCAAACATTTAAAGCTACTATTTAAAATACGTCATTTTCCTTTTTTTTATCCTTTTGTTTATTTTTGTTCAATAATTAATTGCACATGTATCCTCATTATGTTTCTTTCTATCTCGACTCTCTAAGTAATGTAAGAGGGCTCAATATATCCAGCAATTTTTTTCTAAGTACGAAGGCGCATTTCAATACGCATTGATGAATAGTCGTGGTTTAATCTTTGTTCGCAATTATGAGTACATATTTTGATCCATTTAGATCTTGAACTAATAGAACCTTATGGGTTCTTGCTGAAATGCCCTCAATATTATTACCATTGTATCAATGAAATCATTATTAGTTTTCATACTTTAACGTATAATTTATGTGGATGATGCTAGCATTTCCAATTGAAATAATAGTTTTTCAATAAATAACTAAAACAGCGAGCAACATCCTTTCATTTTTATCTATTATTGAAGTGTTGAGAAATATCTACTTTAATAAAATGTGACATAATAATGATTCGGTTTTGGAATGCAATCAACAAATCAAAAATAGATTTTCGTAAATTCCATAACGTTACATAGCTATAAAAAATTTTCAGGGCATTTCAATGACTTAGATAAATTTACAGTGCTGTATGTGTGTAATGGCCAAGTAAACTTGCATACGCGTGCATGTTACAAAGTATCATAGTACATTTATAATGTATTATTAGACATCTGTAGTGAAATGTGGTCTTTTTTATGTTATAAAGTTTATTCGCACTCTCGAATTAGTCAGTATACAAACTTGTTCGAGTTTTGACCCGTTTACTTTGTATGAGCTAAAGAGGCGTAGGAACAAGATTTAATCATCAGTCCAAAAATTGAGCTGATTTAAATTGTTTATGCCAAAAAGATTTGAAAATTTTTTTTCAAAAACATCTCATCATAATTCATTATAAATATGTACTTTTCAAGTTACAAGTACAATTTGGAGCAAGTTCTTTGTCGACCTATGCAAAAATGTTAGAAGTTGGTAAATGTGTTTTACTTCTACTCTCAGTTCACAAATTATTCAATAAATGTGAGTTTTTTATTATTCATCTTTTCGATTTGCACAGTGACACTCTAATGAAAATCTTATCTGCGAATGCTTCGTTTCGTTTCTCTTGGAGTTACAAAATTTTCTTTCACTCGATTGTTATTATTTTGGTTCAATTTTTGATTATCGATTATAAGAGTGCATTTCTCGCTTTTAAAGTAAAACGCACTTAAGCTAGCTGCGCTTCACTGGTTCACTCGAAAATATTACGTAATGCTAGACAATACAAGTTAATTATTTTTGCATTGATGTCATTTAGAGTTCCTATTGTGTATTCTAGCGTGGCAACGAAACGACTATAACGTTTGCGAAGATGCCCCGTTACGATTTCTCTCGTTCTCAAGAAAAACAATCGTCCACTACGTATCTCCCCCGTACAGTGTAATAATCCGAACATTTAACATTTGTCTTCGTGCACTTCCATCTGACAAAATCAATGACGAACAAAAATGTGTCTACTCATATCGACAAAAGGAAGAAAAGAAAGAGTACGTATAATGTATAACGAAGAACTGGCTTTTTCCATACGCGTGTCGTTCACTAATCGACAAGTCTGTGTCTTTTCATTGCGGGGACGTTCTTGCGCGAGAGCAACGCTCGTAGCCCGCTTCTCGCTCGCTCGATGGCACACAGAGAGATTACCGGCGAAAGGCTCGCTCTCGCATATCATATCGTATCATTCGCAATCGTCATCTACGTTTAAAAACATCACAAATAAAGAAGAACGAACTGCCAAAGTCTTTGATCCTTCGCGGCGTCGTTTCTCCTCAGAGCAACGGAAAAAAACAATGAACAATAATAAAAAAGAAGATTTAAAGAAAAAACAACAAGATGGTAGAAAGCTCGGAAGGCGAGAGCTTCCTGAAAGATGAGTCGAGCGGTGAGTCTACCAGAAGAGATCGTGAGCTCCGAGTCTGGCTGCTCCGGGTTGCCAGATATTCGCTGGCTGACCCGGAGCCACGGTTCAATCCTCGTCGGCGTGCTGCCGAGGACTGGCGTAGCCCGAGTTATCGGGCGAGAAGTTCATCACGTCCGACGGCGACAGGCTGTCTTGTGGGTAGTAGAACGACGGGTGGTCGGAGCTGGGGCCCGCGGTACTGCCGTTCATTATGCTGGCTGGCGGCGAGACTGACGGTCGTGCGGACGGCCCAGGCCCCCCTCCGGACTGACCACCGAGTTCCGACTGCACCGGCGATAGGAAGCCTATCTCGGGTCCGCTGTCTCGGCACCATAACTGACGCATTTCCTGGCGGCGTTGGCGCATCAGCATCTTGTACTCGGAGATGCGCATCTTCTTGCCGTCGACGATGCAGGTGCGCTTCGGGCGCGGCCGATACCTGTAGTCCGGGTGCTTCTCCATGTGTAGCTTGGACAGTCGCGACTGCTCCTCGTAGTACGGCTGCTTCTCCGAGTTGGACATCCCCTTCCACCGAGTGCCTGCGGACGAACAAAACAGTGAATAAATCGCACTGTCCGCGGGGGGAAGGTCCGAAACCGCGCCAAAGCAGCTCTGCTTACCGAGTATTTTGGATATGTTCGAGTTGTGCATGTCGGGGCATGCCTTCAGAATTTTCCTACGCTCGTCCTTGGCCCACACCATGAAAGCGTTCATCGGTCGTTTGATGTGTGGTTTGTTTTCGCTTTCTCTCTTTGGCTGTCTCACCATTTTCGCTGTCGAGTCAAATGAGACCGAGTTAGCTGCTACACTTCAGCCCAAGAGAAAACAATTAATCTGACTTGGCGAAAGATAAACCTACCTTTTTCCGCCATCTCATCGGGGCCTTTGTAGCTAGGATCTCTCCACACTAAAAGCAAAAGCATACGTGTCGGGTTGGTGGGTAGCCTCGCAGACGTCGACAGAGTTGCTCGATCGAGCAAAAAGAGTACTCACTGTGCCCCGAGCCGAGAAAATCTGACTCGTCCGGGACAGATTCTTCTTGCGCCGAAGGATGTTTCATCTGCCTGGACGACTGAGGCGACGGTGGCATGGCACCTGTACTCGGCGGCTGCAGGCCATACATTCGTTGCACAGCCAGGTGCTTTTCCACTGCTATGAGCGCCGCCGCTGCTACTGCGCCCTTATCCGAGCTGCTGTTCTCTTCCTTCGCCATTTTGCCCGCTGGGATCGTCATTTTATTAGATCGCACCGATCGCACGGAGTTTCGAGTAAGCACGTGCGCCACGAGCGAAATCAAGTCAGCCGTCGCCTTGGAACTTACTTGGCGTGGAGAGGAAGCTGAGGTGAGGTGGCAGTCCACCGTAGGGCATATTACGCAAATAGTTCCTGGGCTCGGGCATGCTGGGTGGGAATAATTTGGGTGCCGTCGCGGCGAGCGGTTGCTCTTGGTGTTGCTGTACGCTGCCCAGAGATGCCACTCCGGAGGTGTCGCGACCCGGCGAGGACGACGCCGCAGCAGCCGCCGCAGCTGCCGACAAAGACGACGACGACGACGACGACGACGACGATGATTTGGGCTTGCTTAAGTTGAGCGGCGCGTCTGGATCGGGTGGCGCGGCTGGTGTCGAAGTAGGCGTCGCTGGTGTCGACACTGGCGTCGGCGAGCGCTCCTTCTCGAGCTGCGACGACATGCGCGCCAAGTGAGCCGTTGCCGAGGCCCAGCTTGGGCCCTCTCGGTGCCCGCTTATCATCTGCAAGTATATTTACTCGTTCGGCACAAGCGAGCACACCAATTCGCTACTCGTTTTACTGTTCAAATACGCGCGATGTTTACATGGCTTTCTATCGTCTGCTTGCCAAACTTTGCTGCGTCAAATACCTAGTCAGCTCGAACGGAATAGAAAAACGTATGCTGCGGACGATCTTAGCGTAAATCAATGCGAAATAGCGAGGATTCGAAAGAACATACATTAGCTATGGAATTGATGTGCTTGTTGCCGGTGACGGCAGCGGCGGACGTTGGCGGCGGCATTGGCGAGGGTACGGGCAAGCCCCTCAATTGCTCGAGGAACGGCGAAAGGAACATGAGAGGCTGCGGCTGGCTCATACCAAGCTGGCTGTTGTTCAACTGCGCCTGCAGCTCCTGAATGCTCAACTGCATTATATGCTCCTGCTGGCGCTTCAGGTGCTCCGACTGCAGTCGCTGGATCTCCAGCTGTTTTTGCGCGTCCACGCTCAAGTGTGATGGGTACGCCTGCAGTGCAAAGGAAGAGATGCTTACTTTTGGGGGAGGTTAAGGGCAACGTGTATCGAAGACGTGTGCGGAGCTATAATTTATAGCTGGATATGATTGCGGAGCCCTGGCAACGATCCAGCAATATTTCGCTTGACGTTTTCTTTGGCTCGGATAAGCAAGTTACGATAACAATACGAAGCAAAGTATCAATTAATCTCACGAATGGAATCCGCGAGATGCATCATACGCAATGTGTGCAAAAGAAATTAGCTTTCAGTATGACGAAATCGAAGGAAGAAAGATGCATTCAACCGGCATCAAAAACTTCAGTCACAAACGGAAAAAAAAGCCAATTAGATAGACTCAAGGAAAATACAATTTGATGCATAAAATTATGAACTTTGAATGGCCATTCTAGGCAAATAGCCAGTTGCGCTTGCCAGAACGCTGTCTGCACTCCGCGAGAGAGAAGGAAGATGTCTTCTGGAGCAAACGCAGCACCAATTGCTTCGCCACGCTGCTACGCTGCCCCCGTGGATCGAGATGCAGCACAGGTTTTTGCGCGCGCGCAGTATAGACAAACGTACCACAACGCAACAGACCACGAGTGGAAACATTGATTCGCGTAGTCGAGGCGTACAGAGCAGGAGAAACGCGGATATGGCAATCTCACGAGTCGAACTCAAGTCACCAAGCATCTCACGACTTTCCGCGAGGAAGACGAGAGGAAATGTCCTCGATCACCTTTTGGGCCTTGCAAAGCGCAGCAGAAGGCAGTTATCAAATCATCTTTCGAGGGTCAACGCGTGTTAAGAATTTGGATTTCTCAAAATTCGGATTTTCCCAGACAAGTCGAGAGGTAAAATTGAGGTCTAGCCATTGTCTACAGGCCGACGCGAAACCGTCAAGTATCTCAGGGCGGTCAATGTACTCAAATTTTTTTTATTATGGGACGCGGAAAATGGATGGATTAAGAACGCATGTTTGTGACAGCAGCGTCCGAGTATTAACAATTATTCAGCGGGAGTGTTCTTTCTAGATTTTCTATCGGTCGGGCGTCCAAGAGCTTCCGACAAACAACTCTCTCTCTCTCTCTCTCTCTCTCTCTCTCTCTCTCTCTCTCTCTCTCTCTCTCTCTCTCTCTCTCTCTCTCTCTCTCTCTCTCTCTCTCTCTTTCTGTCCCTCTGTACCGTCCCTCTAGCGCAGGTCGCGCTTAAATCGTCGCAAAAGAGCGATTAGAAGGCGAGCACATTTCAAGGCTATTTTCGACGATAAGAAAATCGTTTACCCGTCGAGCACATAGCCTGGTCATATCTCTCGTCAATACATACGATATATCCGCGTGCGTGAAAGACGTCAAACATGAAGCTGCAGCGCGATGTAACAACTGATACTTGAACTCAAACTCGAGTCGATTCGACCCTGCGCTGCATCCTCATTTCTGAATAGCATTCAGACAAAGCTCGTAAAGTTTGAGAAGACAGAGAGAGAGAGAGAGAGAGAGAGAGAGAGAGAGAGAGAGAGAGAGAGAGAAGAGAGGAGGAACTTTAATCGACAATGCGATCCCATTGAGAGCTTGCGGCGAACGAGAAAGAGAATGAGCGCGAGAGCTTGCACGAGAATAGTGACAGGTGCGGCGAGAATACGTTGTCGCGCGCTGACAATGCGTTGACCCACAATGCCTGTGCACGCGGCTTTTGTTGGAGAGGAGTAGAGGGAGAGAAACAGAAAAAGTGGATGATGCTCGTCGCGTGCCGAAATGCTAAGTGCGACGTGAAACGCGGGAAAAGCGCATTGTTGAAAGCTGGCGTTAACGCGAGCAAGGCGCAGCTGGCCAACGTGCAATAAACGCGTGTTGAGTTAGCGCGCGAGCTTGTTCTACATGCCATTGTTGCGCTCGAAATATTCTTCCGACTAATCGCCCTACAACTCCGTCTTTTTCTCTATGCGGCTAATAGGCAGTTTGGATGGAACGAAGGAAAGGACGCGAGAGCTGAGCCGCGCGAGCATAGGGCCAACGAAACTTGATTATTCATTGGAACTTGAGGCTCAGTTATGCCGATGATACGTATCCGTGACAGCTATACCGCCCACTGGGGCTAAATATAAAGACAGGCGTGCTGCCAGAGTAGCACTCGGTCGTTCCATTCACACTGGCGCGCGACGCTCGCTCTCTTCTTCAATGCGCGCGCGCGCGCACGCGCTCGTGTGCGTGTCGCGGCGAGGCTCGGGAATATGAGCGAATATGCGCGCAAGCATTGACGCCAACTGCAGCGCGCCGCAGTTAAACTTAGCAGCGCAATTACCGAAACACAGCCTCGCAGCGCAGCGTAGCAGTGGCAGGCAGCGTAATCGCGGCGCGCTCGACTATTTGTGCGGAGCGAGAGCTGAGCGCACCGGCCGGCATGCGACTCGCTAAGTGCCCGCGGCTCGGGCTCTGCCAGTATCGGCCGCTGTTACGTCGCCGCGTCGCCGCTCATTGTTCGAGGCGATCGCGCTCGGCCTAGAGTCGGGCAATTGCGATCGATCTTGACGCCGGGAGACTACAGCGAGCGTCACCGGGATTTCGACACGCGCGCGCTCAAGTCGACTGACCGAGCGAGGTCAGGCGCGATATCGCGCGGCGTCAAAAAGAAAAGGAAAAAACAAATTGGCGATCGGAGGAGCGCGCTTCGTCTTGCTCTTCCTCGATCCAGACCGAGCTTACATTATCGGCGTTGTCGCGATCAATCGTTATCGGCGATTGCGACGTTCGACCGCTGCCGCGGCGATTCGCGCGCGCGATTCCTCATCGCGCTGCTCGGGGAACGCGCGACTTGCCAAAATAATCTGGCTCGTTGCGAAAGAGCCGGGAGCCAGCGTTTATTTGGACAATGAAGCTCATTGCCGGCGGCCAGATTTATCGCGAGTGCAGCTCCATGGAATGGGTCGCAGGACGGCGCGAGTCGATATTTCCAGAGAACTTTATCGATCGCTGTTTATTATCGCGTTCACCGGCGGAGCCTCGAATCCTTTTGATATTTCGCCTCGGCGCAGGCTGTGCGCGCAAACGCAAGCAAACTGCGCTCGGAGTAAGTTCGTCCGGTCGCGCCCTCTCGCTTTCGGTCTAGTAGCGCCAAATGGATTCTGAAAAGCGATTTGCCGCGCGCGGAACCTCGTGGCAGCAGGCTGTAATATACGTCTGCGCCGAGAATCGGCTACTCTGTTGGCCTCCCAATCGCAGCGCCGATGAATGGACCGGCTTTACATCGCTGCCGTAAGATCGAGAGTATCGCTGCGCAGCAGACTGTCTTTCGCTTGCGCGCGTATATCAAAGGCCGATGTATCCGCGATACAAAGTACGAATGAACGAGCGAACGAATGAATGCGTCATTGTAGACGAGCGAGAATCCAATGTCTGGAATAGGGCTTTCATTTTCTCTCTCGCGCTTACGTTCGTGCATTCATGTGCTTATCTAGCCGGGCGCGCGACTCTCGAGCAATATTATTAATAAAATTCCGCCGGCAGAGCCGCGCCGCCCAACAATCGTGAATAAGCATACTTTGTGCTTGCGATTGGCGTTGCTTTCGTTCGTGCGGCTGCACAAGCTCGCGCCACTCCGCCAGCGCGAGGTGAACGAAGGAGCGGCGCGCGTCGTCCGATGTGGAGCAGCTGCATTGTACACGCCCGCAGACTGCTCCGGAGATCTGGCCGATTCCATCTTTCTCACGCGTGGCAAGCCCCAAGCCCCAGAAGGCAAACACCACAAAGAGAACTTTGTCTTGTTTGGCGCTCTCGCTCTTTCGCCTCATCCATTGCTGTACTCGATCGAGATAATGCGCATCTCTAGAGAGAGAGAGAGAGAGAGAGAGAGAGAGAGAGAGAGAGAACAAACCATCCCAAGTCGCTTTCAGCGCGTATAGCTCTCATTTTTTTCATGAGTCTTCCTATCAACGCCAGCGTTACCAGAGCTTACTCGAGTGTTAAATTAGAAGGCGCTCGTCGTGCAAAAGTTTCGCGGCTGAGACTTTGAGAGGGCCTCTGCACATACACAGCCACTCGACAGTCAATACAGCGCTCGGGCTGTTTCGCGTTTATCGCGCTTTTTTCCTCTTCTCGCGAGCTTTTGTCTTCCGTCGCCACCGTGACGCAGGACAGATTAATGTATTTCTGTCTCGAGTACGGGAGGAATTCTCTCGCGATATGAAAAATACACACGGATTTGTGCTCGGATTTATTGTCAGCGGCCAGCCAGCTTTCCTGCTACGAGCAATACGCAGACGATTTAATATTAACGCTCGACCAACGGAATAATAATAAAAGCGCCCACTCTGGACGCTCATTGCGAAAGAATATTCGCTGGAGCAGCAAACGCGCAGAGGATTACAGTGCCGAAGAAAGAGATTAGACCATTAGGCGTTAATGTCCCGGTAAGCTCTCCTCTCCCTCTGTCAACGCACTACTACATGACAGTGATGTCGATAAGTCGCAAATATAAAGGACCGTTTGTTGTCGTTGTTGCGCCGCGGAAAACCTAGGGATAAATTAACCGAGCGTAGCAGCGAAAAGCGCCAAGCACTCGTAGCACGTAGAAAGAATCGCCGAGAGAGCGCGAAAAGCGATACAAGTGACGCGCGCGTCGACGAGGGAACGGCGAGAAAATAAGCCCGGCCGAGCGACAAGAGAAAAGCGAGGCTCGCTGTCAGGCGGATTATTGTCTCGGGCTTCTTATCTGCGGACGCGCTGACGCGCAGAAATGAAGAGGGCGGAGAATCGAGAGTCAACTCCCCTGAGAGCGAACGTGTGCCACCTCGGCGACGCGGTCCCGACTCGCCGAGTACGACTCTTTGACGGAAAGACGAAAAGCCGCGCGTGTGTCTTGAAATTGATTTAGCGTCGAGGCCCGATCGAGTGCCAATGACGTCGCGCGCCTCCGCGGCAGCGTGGAAAATCGCGCGCTCCGGCGAGGTAGACGCCACTCGTGACATAGCAAGCGAGCCAACGCGATCGGAAGGCCGACGCGGCGAATTGCCGGGCC